TTATTTATTTATTTATTTTTTGGTTTTGGTTTTTCTCCAGTACCGGGAACTGAACTCACGACCTTGTGCTTGCCAGGCAGGCGCTTTGCTGCTGAGCTAAATCCCCAGCCCTTCAAGTTATACTATAAAGCTACAGTAATAAAAACAACACAGTATTGACAAAAGCAAAATCCAAAACAAAACAAAAAACTAGACTTACAGATCAGTGGAATAGAGTAGAAGATACAGAAACAACTCCAGCCACACTCACCTATATTATTTTTGACAAAAGGGCCAGATCCCTTCACTGGAGGAAAGATAGCCTCTTTAACAAATCATGCTGGGAAAACTGGCTATCCACATGCAAAGGTTGAACCTAGACTCATATCTCTCACTATGCGCGAAACTAAAATCAAAATGAATCAAACATCCAAACATTAGTGTAGGAACATTTAATCTGCTAGAAGACAAAATAAGTAAAACTCTTCAAAATATAGGAGTAGGCAAAGACTCTTTGAACAAAACGCCAGTTGCCCAAGAAATAATACCAGGAATCAGCAAACAGGATCACATCAAATGAAAAAGCTTCTGCACAGCACAAGAAACCACTAACAGTATGAAGAGACAACCTACAAAATGGGAAAAAATTTTACCAGCTACTCCTTAAAGGACTAATATCTAGAATATATAAGCAACTAAAAAAATTAGAACCCCCAAATTTAAAGACTCAACCAAAAATGGGCCACTGTAATGAATAGATATTTCCCATATGAAGAAATACAAATGGCCAATGAAGATATGAAAAAATGTTCAACATCGCTGGGCATTCAAGAAATACAAACTGAAATAACAGTAGGATTCCATCCCATTATAGAAACAATGGCTACCACGAAGAAATCAACCAATAACAAGTGCTAGTGAAACTGTGGGGAGACAGGAATCCTTCTCCACTGTTGGTGGGAGTGTAGACTGGTGAAAACACTGTGGAAATCAGTGTGGAGATTCCTCAGAAAACTAAAAGTAGAAATTCCACTTGACCCAGCTATTTCCCTTGTAGGTGTCTTCCCAAAAGAACTAAATGTGCCATATTGCAAAAAAAGACAAATAATAGGAAAAAAGAGAAAAAAAAGTATTGTAATCCAGTATGGACAATGTATCTGGAAGTGTACCCTGACTTGGTACAGTTGTCCTACATGTTTTATGCGTGCTTTGGTTTTCAATCTGTGTAAATGATAATTTACTCCATAAAGCCTTACAAGGTCTCATAAGATAAATGAATGTAGTGCTGGAAAAATAAAGGGGGATTAGGGAGGGGGGGAAGAAGGGAGCTGAAATGTGTTCTGTACACGTACTAAGCCCATATGTGAGTGTAATTCTTATGTACTGCAAACATGTACTAATAAAAGTAAAAAACAATAAGAAGAAAGGAGCTTGATGATTGCCAAGGCTGCAAGTAGTAGGAGGTTATGGGAAAAGCTGTGGCCACTTTCTTTCGGTGCTTATGAAAATGTTTTCAAGTTGATTATGGTTTCATTTGCACAACCTAATATACTAAGTATTATTGTATTATATACTTTAAAATGCAGAATTGGAGCCTGAGGATGTAGCTCAATAGTAGAGTGCTTGTCTAGTGTTCAGAAAGCCCCAGGTTTAATGCCCAGCACCTTGAAATAATAATAAAGTAAGATAAAACAAAACAACCAGGCATGGTGCTACACACCTGTAATCCCAGCACTCAGGAAGCTGAGGCAGGGGGATCATTGCAAGTTCAAGGCCAGCCTGGGCTACAAAGTGATTCAAGACCAGCCTAAACTGCATAGTGAGACCCTGTCTCAAAAAGATGAAAAAAAAATAGTGAAAAAACCCTAAAGCTAAAGCTATGGCTGTTGATGTAGACTTTCTAGATTAGCCAAGCTTTTCCCTAAGGGGCCTGATAATAGACGTATGGGCATATTCAGTGCTTTCAATTTTTTTTCATTTAATTGTAAAACCCCTAAAAAATGGAAAACAAAACATCTGTATATCTGAGGCTGTACCAGAAGAAGCCAGTGGCTCCGTTTGGTCTATGGGCCCTATTTGGCCTGGTTCTGATAGAGACTCATTGGTATGCTTGGATCTACACTCTCCCTGCTGCCTGACAAATACCTCTTTTCACATATCTTACAACATTTTGGCTTCAAGAAATGGTCTACAGGTGTCCACCTGCATCTTGTAAAACTTCTGATCCCTTTGTTAGTCAGGGTGACCCAGAGAAACAGAATCATTAAGACAGTGGAGACGCTGGTGTGGGAATCACCTCACACGAGTACGGGGCCTTGACGTCCCTCAGTCTGCATTCTGCCAGCTGGTGTCCCAGGACAGAAGGCAGCACAGTCAAGCCTGATACAAAGTCCTGAGAGCCAGAAATTCTGATGACCCAGCTCAAGAAGAGATGGCTCCCCGCTCAAGATGGATATCCCAGCTCAAGAAGAGGTTTCATCAGCCTTCTTCCACCTTTTCTCTACTCAGTCCTCTGTGGATTGGGTAATGCCCATCCACAGTGGTGAGGAAGGGTCTTTCTCACTCACTCTACCAAATGTTAATATTTTCCTGAAACACCTTCACAGACGTGTGCAGAAATAATACTGTATCAGCTTTCTGGGCATCTCTCAGCCCAAGTGTAGGTGACACACAAAATTTAAGCACAATGTGCCACTCTGAATATTGAAGACATCAGAGAACAATAAGCTGGTGGCTCCTGAGTGTATAGGGACAGAACACAAAGGAGTAAAATGACACATACAAAGCTTTCTGCATTCTCAAAATGAGTATTCTTGGATATTTCTTTCTACAATGATTTAAACCAATAGTTTAAAGATTGACTCCAAGGACTCCCTAGTTTCAGTTGTACTTTGGGAGCATGTGATCTACAAAGCTTTTCTTTTAAAAAAAAATTTATTGAAAAAAGATAAAACAATTTCATAGCAAATTAATAGGAGAATAATAGTAGTTAATATATTGCATATTGTCATCTTCAAAGTAGTTGCTCAGAATACAAGATATGGGCATCAAATTTTTTCCAGTCAATATTATCACAAACCTTCCTTTTCAGTGAACTAAGAGATAGTAATAGTATAGCTACCTTGCATTTTTCTCCCTTTTCCCTTCCCCCTCCTAGATCCTTTTTTCTTTTAAATAATTATTTCCCATTTCACAATATCTGTTGTATATTCTAGACCTTATTTACTCTTTCAATTTCTCACACCAGGGAGACAGTGCAGTGTTTACACGTGTGAATCTGATTTATTTTACTTATGAGTATGGTCTCAAGTTGCAACCATTTACCTATAAAAATCTCTAGTTTATCCTTCTTTATGGCTGAGTAAGTAGTCCATTGTAAAAAATACTACATCTTTTTTTATCCATTCCTTGGTTCATGGCATTTGGATTGTTTACAAGATTTAGCTGCCACAAATGGTGCTGCTGTAAACATGAGTGCACATATATTGCTGTGGTCTTGTATTCTATAATCTTCAGGGAAAATACCCAGAAGGGGAATAGCTGGGTTAAGTGGGACCTCTAATCCTAGTTTTGTGAGGAATCTTCAAACTGATTTCCACAGTGGTTTCACCAGTCTACACTCCCACCAGCAGTGGAGAAGGGTACCTTTTTCCCCACAGCCTCTCCAGCACTTACCGTTGGTTGATTTCTTAACGATAGCCATTCTTTCTGGGATGAGAAGGAATCTCAGCGTTGTTTTAATTTGCATTTCTCAAATGACTAATGATGTGGAACATTTTTTCATAAATTTATTTGCCAGTAGTATTTTTGTCATCTGAGAAGTACATATTCATCTCAGATGCCCATTTTTGGGTTAGGTCTTTGAATTTAAAAATCCTTTATATATTCGAGATAGAAGTCCATTGTCTGAGGGACAATTGGCTAAAACTTGTTCCCAATTTGTGGGTTTTTTTTTTACCCTGTTGGTAATTTCTTTTGATGTGAAAAAGCTTTCCAATAAGATAAGATACCAGTTGTTGATTCTTTGAAGGATTTCCCGTGCAGTTTGGTTTTTGTTCATGAACTCTCTGCATGCCCCTATGTCTTTGAGATGTTTACCTACTTTCTCTTCCAGTAGATTTAGTGTTTCTGTTTTGATATTATAGCTTTGATTCACTTGGACTTTAGTTTAGTGCATGGTGATAGACAGGAGTCTAGTTTTAGTCTTTAGCATGTGGAAAGCCAGTTTTTCTAGCACCATTTATTGAAGAGGCTATCTCTCTTCCAGTGAACATGTTTAGCTCCTTTGTCAAAGATAAGGTAACTGAATGTGTTTGTAGTTGTGTCTGCATCTTCTAATCTGTTCCACTGATCCTCTGGCCTGCTTTTTTGCCAGTATCATGCTGGTCTTATCACAGTAGCCCCAAAGCTTTGCTTACCTATACTGTGTTCTCTTCAAGTCTGTAGATGCATATGTATGTTCATTTTTCTTTTTTCTTCAGTGTTCTAGAGTATCTTTGCTGTCACTAAAATAATAGATCTTGAAAATAAAAACTTCTTGAGCAATAAAGTAGAAAATGTGCTTTTAGTTGTGTAAAATGATATATTAACGTGCATTTCTGTGCATTTCACTTAGAGATAATTGTTTGGAGACTGGGAGAAGCAGTTTATCCAGTGTCAGTGATGATTGGAGCAAGAGGGCTGTGCATGTTAATCAGAAACTTTGACAGTGAAGTACTTGCATAATTTTTTTCTTTTAAGAAAATTACCCTATTTCATATGCAAAATTGAACATGTGTGTGGGCAGAGATTTTCCTGTCTCGCTCCTAAAGTTACTTTACAAAGGTAAAATTGCCAAGTATTAAAAGGCAAGGGATTTCTTCTTAGGTAGAAAGTTTCCTAATGTATCATCTGGATATAGCATACTTGATGAATTTTTCTTAATAATTAGTATCCCTGGAGTATGTAATCTTACTAAAGAATATTCTCTTATGTACTTTAAAATGAATAATCTGACTTGATTATGTCCTTTTACTTTGCAGAAAGTATTTGTATGCCACATCTTCTTTCAAAGGAGCACTTAAAAATGAAGTTAAAAAAGCACAGGAAGCAGTAAAGATTGGTATGTGGTTACCAGTGGTTTACATCATTATTGTCCATTCATTTGACAAACATTAATTCAGCATTTATTCTGAGACAGTCATTGCTCTAGGCATTGTAAACAATACTACAGTTAAAAAATTGTCATTCCTACTTCTATGGAATTCATAACACAGCCTGTCCATTGTTGAGTTTCCTTATGTATGATATGATTTATTACTTTAAATATGATTTTGTACATACTTGGAATTAACTGATGTGTATTAGAAACCTTCATAGTCATGATACTGTTAGATTATATTAAAGGCCAGCATTTCATCTACTTTAAGAAGCACTTTTTAACATACTTTTTTTCCTACAGCAAAGATAAACGTATCCTTCCCCAGTCATCTGGGATGGAGAAAAGTTCTACATTATATGTAGATTTTATAGAGTTTTTAATTGGCTAAAGGTCAACTCATACTTTTGGATTTGTACATGTAGAATTATAAATTGTCATGCCCAAGAGGAAGCCAGATAGAGAAGATAAAAAATGCATAAGAGCTCTGAAGTGAACTCAGGATGTTCTGAGATCATGATCTGTGTGTCATTCTCACTGGTCATGGCTATATGTATCGAAGACACTCTCTTAAAAATTGAGAGAATTTCACTGCATTGTAACTATTTTTCTTCTACTTCCAGCTGAACTCATACTGAAAGAAGCACAAGTCGAAGTAAACCAGCCTGACAGAGCTGCGTCATCTTCTGCCTCGGTAGGCCCTGGGAAGAGTGGTCTTAAGCGGCACCCGGTGTCACTTACTGTTCTTGTTCATAGCTGTCTCTCATCATTTACTTCTTACACTCTTCAGTGCCGGTAGGCTGAACAGATTAAGTTGATTTTAACACAGGTACACAGCAGATGGTGCAGAGAAAGGAGAGAAAGCCCAGCAAATAGCAGGAAGAGCAAAATATCAGGTGAATTTGGGACAGTGAGGAAGAACCTAAGGAATGATTTTTTTAAAATGAAAAGGAAAAGAAAGGGAAAAATGGATAAAAAGCTAGTAGAAAAAACCTAGCCTATCCAGTCTCCTTGAAAATATCTTTTCAAATTATAGCTCTCTGTGGACTTAAATAAATGGGGAAAGTAAGAGGAAGACTAATAAGTAATTCTTCTTTCGAGTGCTCGGAGTTATATGCCGTGATTATGAATATTAATAACAGTGCTTCCAGCTTACGAAGCTCTTTTCTTAGGAGTTTCTCCACACAGTTCATAAACATTCTCTGTGTTTCTTCCAATATGCCCACAAGTAGGATGGTTCGAAGGAACTGTTATTATTAATTATGGTGTATTTTAGCTAAGAGGAAAAGAACATTGCCGCAGGATATGTGCTGCAAGTTTGCTTTTTACCAAGGATGTGGTACAAAGCTGTGCACCATGGTAAAACATTAAAAGGCTTGTCTGTTTGCTTGATTACAAAGCGATGGCTAGGACTATAAAGAAAGAATTCCTTTTGTCCCCTTTCCTTCATTCTCTTCCACGGGCTAAATACCTGCATTCTTTCAGTGATTTCCCCTGGACGTTAAGTATCGGGGATGTGGCTGACAAAGAGCTGGCCCACCTAGGGGTCATAAGGAAGGGGTGAAATCAAAGGATAGTGCACGGTAGTGTCCAAAGCGGAATCTATCCCTGGTTTTCTCAAGATTCTCTTACTCCCCCCCCCCCTTCCATTTATTTATTTATTTTTTAAAGTTCAAGGTAAACCTGTCTTACTGCAATTGATTTGTTTCATGGTTTAAGCTTTTTTCTTTTCTTAATTTTGTTTTTACAGGAGGAGAGGTTTACTTGGGCTCACAGTCTGTGGAGGTTTCAGCCCATGGCTGGCCGAGGAGAAACAGTCCATGGCAGGGCAGGCAGGAAGCAGGGAGCAAGTTCTTTTTTTCTATTTTGTCTCTAAGAAATCCATTCCCCTTACTTTCTGTGTCTAAGAGCCAAGACCCTGGCTTTCTTCTTGCCGTCACCTGCTCTTTTCACTGCCCCCTGCTCTCCACGCTGAGTGTGAGCGCACTGCCAGGAAGAGCAGGGTGTCTTTGATCAGTTTGCTTTGTTGCTCTCAAGTGCTCCGGTGACTTTAGTCCCGAGAAGAGAGCAAAGCAGAATGACCTGACTTTCTGACCTTTTAAATGCTTGTGGGCGGTTGAATTTGAGTGAAATACTTACTGGTCATTTTCTATTTCCTTTTACTTGAAAGACAATGATCATGTTCCATCAGCAGTATACTCAAAGAGATGCCCGCCATTTGCGCCAAAGTCTACTCTTATTTGTGAGAACAATCCTTGTGAATTATTCCCTTTTTGTTTGGTTAGAGTAAGCACACTACGGATAGGATAGTGATTGAGCCAAGACAGCAAATTAAAAAGCTACGTAACAAAGACAACTGGCCACTGGTATGGGAATGCTCTGAGAAGGAAAAGCAGAGGGATGGGGTCATCCAGAAAAAGGAAATAGTGGAGGCATTCAGAAGTTCACATGAAGGGCTTTTTGACTACTAGCTAAATTTATCAATTACTATTTTTTTAATGATTTGAGGGCTCCTGGAGGATCAAAGCCCTCTGACAGAATTCAAGATTCTCTCAGGGGAAAGACCAAGACCTTCTCTGGGTGGCTCGTATTTAAATCACTATTTCTTTTTTTAATGGAAGAAGTCTTAGTGATTATATGATTGAACACTTTCTGTTCTTACAGACAAAGACCAGATCCTAGTTACACTGAATAATTCACCCAAGTTCTCATGTAGTTTACGCCAAAGCCATTATGCCATTGTAGGGAAGGAAGATTCTTTCTCGGAAAGGCTGACAGAGAGTACATCTAAATAGGTGCAAGAAGAACATGATGGGTTAGAATTTGGTTTCTCTTCTAACTACTGGAACTTAATCATTTACCAAGGGTCTGTTGAATACATACCATGCTCTAGGCAATGTGATCTATCATTAGTACCCTTGAAGTATTTGGATCATAGGGTAATATCAACTCACTTTTTGTCAACTGTATGTTCTCTCTTAACCAAATGAACTTCCCTAGGATATATTAGAGAAAGCTTTGGAAGATGTAGAAGCAAAGCGTAAGAATCTTAAGGAGAAACAAAGGTAAGGCAGATTTTTCTTTTTGCAAGGATCCTTGGTTCTGTGTGTTAACAAATTCTGTTAACAATTTCTGTTAACAAATTCTGTTAACAATTTCTAAGTAGGCAGGTTTTTGATGGTTACTATAACACTTTCTCTTTTTCAGCTTGGGATATTTTGTAATATGAATCCTCATATGGTCAAGATAAACAGTGTAAAATATTTATAAAGTATATATCTGCATGTGCATATATTTGTCTCGGCAATGTTAAAAATTTTAAACAATGAGAGATTGGTTCAAGATTTGGTAGTTTACACTGGATGAAGACAGCCAACGGCCAGATTATCGGCTCCGAAAAGAAAAGGCTGTGTTTATGGATGGCACAGAGCTGTGGTTCAGTCAGGGAGAGGAACTGTATTTGCTGCTCTTCTTGGTTGAGAAGTGAAAATAAGAGTAACACTCGTTATGCACCACATCTGCTCCGTACATTTAAACTGATCACTCAGCCCTTACGACACTCTGTGAGAGTGGGCAGATAGCAATCCCGTGTTCCAGGTGAGGCAGGGCTTAAGTGGCTCCTTCATATTTGCCCAGTTATTTGCAGAGTGAGCCTGCATTGGGAGCCACGTCTGCCTCTTACGTATGGGCAGTTTTCACAGCTCCCTGCAGCCTCCTGGTGCTACGGTTCTATCGCATTTTGCTATTTCTCAGGGCTTTTATACATGTAATAGAAAAGTTTAACACAAAACATAGTATAGAACAAAGTCAGAGAAGCAGAGTTCACATCCATTGCCTTTATTAACTTGCTTTATTAATTTTTATTTACCTTTGGTTTTGGGGAAAGTTTAGAGAGAGCTAAAGAGCATTTTTTGGTATATTCTAGGCTGTGTGGGGCATTTGGAGATGTGGGAACATACTGAAAGTTAGAAATTACATTCAGTACTAGAAAAATCTACAGTATTAAAGAGCCAAATTATCATTTTTCAAAAATGCTTCAGTGCATACAACTATAACTATATATATTAACTATATATATGTTAAGATTCATTTTTCTTAATGTCAACATTTCAAAACTCTCTTGGGACTTTCTGGTTCTTGTAAATTTAAATTAGGAGACCTGTTTTAGAATCAGTGAGGGCCTGTTTTTGACTGGTACAGTTACGCAGAGTACTTGGCTATACAATGACACCACGTATTCATTCCCACCAGATTTTGCAAAATAGCTGGATATGTGATATATCATTCCATGGATGCTTACTTTCTGAAAAATAACTGTTAGCAATTTTGTAAAGTGAGTACTTTTATTTTTAAAAAACTTTAAAATTTTTTCTAAACATGCCTCTAGAGAATTAAAAAAAGCAGGAACACTATCCCTGTTCTTTGGCGTGAATGTAGAAAACCCAAGCCAAGGTGGAATGTTCCTCTACAGTAATAGCCGTTTGATCAAAATGCATGAGAAAGTGGGCCCGCAGCTGAAACAGAAGTCCTTGTAAGTACGCTTTTGCTTTCAGATGCACAAGCAGGCAGCAGGAGGGTGCAGCGAGATTTTGTCTGTGGAGTGAGAGGAGTGATCATTTAGAAGGGAGCAGGTGCCGTAGTCTCTGTTCATCCTTCCTGTGAACGTGCAAGCATTAATCTGCCCAATTTATATTGTCAATGAAGCTGTATACTTCCTCCAAGGAAAAAGCACACTTGTGGAAATTTTTTTCCACTGCATTCCTTGAACAACTTGATACTTTACCACTGCTTGTGCTATCTCTTTAGGCTTTTAATGTTTTACCAACTTAGAAATATTATAGACACGTTAAATAAATTTTGGAAGAGAAGGAAAAATCCATAGTCTCAAAAAGCAGCCTTGTCAATGTTTGGTGCTGCCCTAACATGTATAAGATTTGCCAAATACCTGGATGAGCATATATGACTAAGACCTTCCAGCCCCGTTGGACTTTTGAGTAACAGATTCTGCTGTTTTCCCAATGGTCCACAACTCCATAAGCTGCTTTCCTCGGTGATATAGAATTCCAAGGAGACACCATGGAAAAGGATAAACAAGATACCCATGACTAGCAGCATGGGTCAGGGGAGCATGTGGCATCCTGATTCCTCACTCTTAAGGAACTAGCAGTTCATTCATTGTTCAATAAATAAACAGTTTTATTGTGTATGTGCTGGACACCATACTAAACTCTGAAGGCAAAATAGGGTTCAGTTTTTTCAAGCTGGATTTTCAGTTCGACTGTGGAGCAAAGTTATGAACACCAAGCAGATTATTTACTGAATTTGGTGTTTCAGTAGTGGAAAGTTTGTGCTTGGAGCCATTTGAAATTTGAGGTAGCACTGTCTTTAAAAAAGCTGTAACCAAACGAGGGGAAGTCAGGTGAGGATTCCTGGAAGAAGTGATGTCCAAACTTAGACTTGTAAAAAGAATAGTGAAGGGAAAGCAGGGTGGAAGAGGAACACGGTAAAAACATGACAGGTGAGGTCCCTAGTTCGGACAGATGGGATTAATGTCCCATGGAGAGGCAGTGGGGAACCAGCTGTGTTAGACAACTAGATGCTTTGCTCAAAACAGGTTATGTCACCAAGCAGAATACCCCAGGTATGTACATCAATTGCCATTAGGAAAGTGAAAAAAAAATACAGCACCTCCCCCAACAACAAAACCAAACGTCTATTCATTAAGGTAACAGTCAGATACCTATCTCCCTCTGGAATAATGAAACACATATGTTCTCTGAGGAGAAGTCACCGAAAAGCCCCGTGGAGCTCTGCAGTGAGGAGAAATCCAGCCCAACAAGTGAAACAGGGACAGAGAAAGTGACTGTGGGCAGTTTCATTAAGAGGATCGTGGAGGTTTATTGCAGTGAAGCACTGTTCCTGGTATCTATGCTGAGAAGCTCCTCCTTCGCCAACCTTCCTGTGAGGCTATAGGTTTGGGAGAAGAGTTACACTAACTGACCAGTGATATAGTGAAGTGATTTTGTATTATGGGACCAAGCACATCTGGGCAGAGATTTATGGGGGGGGTCATAAGATAACTGTAAAGATAAATTTTTAAGACAGCTCTTTAAACTTTATAAACTCTGCCATGGTGCAGACAAAGAGAATGAATTTACTTTTGAAAACACTGATTTCAAGTGACCTTTCTTTTTCTTCAGCCAAATTTTAAAAAAATGGATATAAATTTATTCCCTCAGACTTGGCTCAGGTGTGGTTGGAATTGTGAACATACCCTTGGAGATCATGGAACCATCCCATAATAAACAAGAATTTCTCAACATCCAAGAGTATAATCATCTACTAAGAGTCATGGGACAGTACTTGGTGCAGTACTGCAAGGACACTGGGATCAGTGAGTATTCAGTGGTCACACTAAGCGATACTTAAAAGACGGATCAAGCTGTGGGATTGAAGTGGAAATGATTATATTGGCTCCAGTAACCAATAACCGAAAGACTGACAGAGAACTCCTATTCTAAAACCCTAATAGAGAGACTGGCATTATAGCTCAGGGGCATAGTCCTTGCCTAGCATATGTGAGGTCCTGGGTTCAACCCCAGGCACTGCAAAACCAAACAGAACTAAACAATAACCACAGAGGCAAGAAGGAAGGTAGTTCCAAATGTCATGTGAGAAACAGGAGAAATTAAAAATGGTAAGATGAAGGAGATCAGAGGGCAGTGTGCAGTTGCAGCCCAGCATGTGTGGGAGAGGCGGATGGGGGCTGCAGACAGGCTAAGCACTTGGTCCTTCAGGGGCCTTCGTAGCTCATAGCATCCCATGGCATCCCAGTGTCATGTCATGGCACAGAATTACTGACCCTGGGTCATTGTAGATATAGAAAACATTGTTTTGTGTGTCTTAACATGCTTTAAGTATGTTAATTCCAGAAAGATTTCAATTGAAAATCAACAAAATAAGTATTTGGAAACTTAGAAAATAAAGTGGCCATCTAAAAAATTTTGACCTATTTGGACCACGTCATTCCCGGGGTTACTTGAACAGCCGGACGGTGTGCTGTGTGTTAATAAACACTTGCAGAAGTTATGCATGACATAGGGCTTCATTTATGGAAAGAAATAGACAAGTTTCCCAGTATTTTTTCAATGATTTCTGTGAACTATATATGTCAAAAACGTGTCTCTCCGAGACAGTTTAAAATATTACTGCTCTGTTTGACTTGTAATTTTAGAATATTTTCTGTTCTTTTGCTCTTTCTGTTTGGACCTAAAATTTTCTCAATTAAGCCAGAAGTAAGAGTGTAGGAACTCTGGCAAAAAGATGAGATGATCGAGAGGACAGATTCCCTGCCAAACTAGACTTTTATGTAATGGTCTCAAACCTACTCAGAGTGGCTGCTAGCAGCATCCACATTTCCTGAAGCCCAACCTGAGACCTACCGAAGTAAAATCTGCATCATCACAGGAGCTCCATGTGGTTTTAGGCACATCCAAGTGTAAGAAGCGCTGCTCTGAAGGGTAGCTTCATGCGGTTTTTCTTTGGATAGCCATGCTGTTTTCACCTTTCTCCTCCCTTCAGAGACACAGTTGAAGTATCTTATGTGTAGGAATTACTCTGTTGTATGGCGAAGTTTGCTTAAAGCTGTAAAAAATGTGGGAAAGTATATAATGCCAACATAAATACAAGGAAATATAAACCAACCGTCATACTGGGTTTTAAATGGTAGCATAACAAGGTGCTAAAGAAAGCAAGCATTTGAAATTATATGACTTCCCAGTGTATCTTCTCTTCTCTTCTCTCCCCTCCCTTCCCCTC